TGGTGCCTTATTCTTTGCCTCATCCTACAATGCACCTTGGACTTCTTCCTTCAGTACCATTGGCTCTTGATCATATGCTACCTCTTGAAATGGTTGAACATCAACCATTTCCTTTTGGTAAATCTTTACCAGAGCAGAAAACCTCACATATCTTTCAGAGGGATTATAGTTGTTCTTAAGTGCCATGATGTTTGTTCTGACTCAAAGAGACCCTGTATAGGGTTTCTGAGGAGGGGCTGGTCGGTTTGAACCACCAAACGTGCAGTTAGCAGTCCATTGCTTATACTACAGCTCCATGCCAGGTTTCCTGTGATCAGTAGATTGGAGCTACTGACCTTGTGGTCAACAGTCCAGTTTTTAGTCCACTACAGTACCAGGGCTTCTTTTTAAATTGGTTGTTGTTGTTAAGTGCCATGGAGTCAGTTTCGACCCATAGTGATCCTGTATAGGGGTTCCAAGGAGTGGCTGGTGGGTTTGAACCGCCGACCTTTCGGTTCAAACTGACTTTGCCTTCTAGCTCATTAACCTACAGTGGCTACAGATGAATGTAAACCATTTGTATCATCCAAGCAGAATCAACTCGACATCAGCAGGTTTTGTTTTTATTTCGTTTTGGTTTTTGAACATTTTAACGATCTAAGAAGCAGTGGGTTAGAAGTTGGGCTAACCTCAAGGCTGGCGGCACAATGTCACACCCCTCCGAAGCAGATTAGGCTTTCTGCTCCTGTAAAAATTTACAGTCTCGGAGACCCTGTGAGTTGGAATCAACTCTGACAGTGGGTAAGAAACAGTTTGCAGCAGGTTGAAACAACGGGTGTTTGGTCTTTTAAAATGTAAGGTCTGGGTGTGAGAGACTCCCAGGGGCAGCTTGTGGGATTCCGGGGGGGTCAAGTAGGCATGGGTCTGAGCCCTTCTGGCCTGTGTTGAGTTGGCTTTCCCAGTGGGACTCCTTTTTTCTCCTCCCCAGCCACCCCCTGGCTTCCAGGCCCGGCCAGGAGCTTGGCTCAGTCGCAGGTGCATAGATCCTCTAACATGCATGGAGCCACCCCTCCCTGCCCCAGCCCCTCCCTGCCCAGCACCTGTAGATGAGGCGGATGGAGTAGTAGCAGGCCAGGAAGATGATGAACTCGCCATAAAGCAACTTGTAGATGCTGCCTCTCCAGCACAGCAGCAGGCGGGAGAAGGAGCCTAACTGAGCATTGGCCACTTTGCTTGTGTAGGTGACGGTCATAGCAAGGCACTGGGCTGCCAGCAGGTGGCCTTGGGTCCTGGAGGACAGACACATGGACACTGATGGGGAGCACCAGAGAGGACAAGGACTGTGGTCAGAGCCTTTCTGAGACTCATGTGACCTTAGTCAGGCCCTTGCACATCTGTACCCTGGGAGGGGGCTATAGTGGTCCTTATGGCCCTTCCAGCTCAGACCACCTGTGGGAAATGGCCACCCAGGGATGTGAGCCCAGACACTGCCCACAACCTAGGCAGGGAAGACAGAAATACCAGTTACTCATGAGTCCATTTCAACTCATGTGTGTCAGAGCAGAACTGCGTTTCGTAAGGTTTCCAATGGCTGGTTTTTCTGAAGTAGATCTGCAGGCCTTTCTTCCAAGGTACCTACCTTATGGTTAGCAGCCTACTACCTTAGTGGGCAGCACCACCCATAGGCAGTCCTGTGTATTCGGTGTGTTAAATATGTACAACCAAGGCTGTAACAACACTCTGGTTGGAGCCTCTAAGCCTGGCAGTGTTTTAAGCCCGTCTTGTAATTAACTCCTCTACATGGACTCCTGGTGTGGCGCTGTGGGCTAATGCGTCAGATTGCAAAGTCATTTGAACTGCAAGGTCAGTGGCTCAAGCTCACCAGCTGCTCCTTGGAAACCCTATACAGGGTCGCTATGGGTTGGAACTGACTCGACGGCACTTAACGACAACAGCAACACTTCCTCAACTACTTGGAGCAAGAAGTAAATATGGGTCAGCCTTGTCCACTGCCGTATTCTCAGTGCCCAGAACAGTGCTGGCTGGTGGAGATACTGAAATAAAGTTTGCTGGATAGAATCCCTGACTTGACCCTCCTGCTCAGTGGAGCATGCTCTTCCCTCAGTTAACTCACTCCCACTTCCAGCCATTTCCTCTAAAAGGGTGTCCCCAACCACTCTACCAGAGCTCTCTGCCCCCTCACCTTGATGTTTCTCCATAGCACTTACCATGACTTGAAATTATACAGATTTCTGCATGCGTACTACCCATTCTCTCCTTAGAATGGATGTACTTAATGGGTTCTCATAGGAGGTGCTCAACAAAAAATTAACGGAATCACTTTTAAGAATTTCTTATATGGGATTATATGGACAACAACAACTCAAAAGATTAGGTAGGAAATTTAGGGACTAGTGAGTTTATGTTAAGGGGAAAGGAACAATATGGAAAAAGAGGGAGAACATTTTGTAGCAAGGAGGGGAGTGATTTAACTTTTCAGTCTAGGAGCGGAGGTCCCTGGGACCATCAAGGGAGAAGAGTGGAGAGCAGGACCCTATCCAGAGAAGCAGTGATGCCTGAAATGGAGGAAGAGACGATGACATGGAGAGATGGAGCAGTTGGAGACTTTAGACACAGAGAGGGAGAGTGGCTGTGTGCTGATGACTGGGAGGCAGGCTTGCAGGGTATACCCTTTAGTTGGTTGATGATGCATGGAGGGGATTGTAACCATGGGAATGAAACGATATATGATAGGATGAATGTAAAACTAATGTTCTCCCATGTAAACTATCACATAATTCATAATAAAAGATAAAAAAAATGTGAGAATAGTAGCACAACTTGGAGAATATCACCTTTGTTATGGAATTGTACAGAATTTGTTGTATGTATAGAATTTGTTGAATTGGTGTGTGTTAATTATCATCATCATCATCAACAACAAAAATAATGATAAGCGGTTTGACAGTTCATACCCACCTAGCAGCTCCTCAAGAGGAAAACCTGGTGGTCTACTTCTGTATGGATTATAGCCAAGAAGATCGCATGGGGCAGTTCTGCTCTCACATAGAATCCCTATGAGTAGGAACCAACTCAATGGCAAAACCCAACATCAGTGTCTAAAACCATGAGCTGTTTAATTTATCCTATCACAACTAGTTGGGGTATTAATAAACAGTAATTTATAACTGCCCAAAATTGATTGAATGATTGAAAGATTGACACACACAAACACACACCACACTCCCAGCTCAGATGCAGCCACCCTGCTGTCTCTCTGAGCCTGGTGCACACACACCCAGTTATTCCTACCACAGGGTCCTTGCACACCTGTAGATGTCTGCTTGTGTGTGTACATGACACACATGGATGAAGGCCCTAAACCCCAGTGCAGCCCAGCCCACTTGGGCAACCCCTACTCATGGGTGTGGCTTTGGACTGGTCTGACCACTGTACTGGTGAGGTACACTGTACTGGTGAGATCCTGAGGTCAATGCCCTGGTTTTAGGGTACCTACTGGTACAGCATTGTCCAAGTGTGTAAGGGTGTGCTCAGCGGTCACTTGACTCTCTAAGCTAGGACTTCCACAAAGGAACTCTTGTTTGAGCGCCTCCCCATAATCTGCCCAGGAACAGCGGCCATCACAGCCCTGCCAGGGTCCTCTAATTCCCAGCCCTGCCAGGGTCCTTTAATTCCCTCCTGGGAGAACAGGGCTGGAATTCCAGGCACGTGACCACCCCTTCTACCAAGTTGCTGTTATCAGATGTTATGGAGTTCATTGTCGACTCATAATTACCCTGTGTGACACAGTAGAAATAGAATTTTCTAGGCTGTAATCTTTACAGGGGAGTTCTGACGTGGCACTATAGGATAAGCACTGGACTGCTAACTGAAATGTTGGCAGCTCAAACCCATCAACTCCTCAGAAACCCTATACAGAGTTGCTATGTGTCGGAACCTACTCAACTGCCCACAACAACAACCTTTATGGGAGCAGATTGCTCTCTCGCGAAGTCGTTGTGTGGGTTCAAACCCGCAGCCCTTTAGGTAGCAACTGAATACTTAACCGGTGTGCCACCAGCCCTCCTTTGCCCTCCACCGTGGGCCCTGCCAATCCTATCATTTCATCTGGGCTCTAAAATCCAGAGCTGAGGAATTGGCTCCCTTGTGTCCTTACAGTGAGAATCGTGGGTGAGGAATGAGGGTCTACGAGGCAAGAGTGCCGACGCTGTGGAGAGAACACTGGACTACAGTTACAAGTCCTGTGTCCTAGTCCCTCTTCTGCCACTGCCTGTGGTAACCATAGGTGGGTCTCTACGGCTCTCTAAGGACTTAACGTCCCCGGTTTGAAAAGGACAACATTGCTTTGGAATTTCATTACATCAGTAAGATGCACAGACTCCAGAATACACTGGTGAGGAGCTCTGATTGGCTGCTGGTGATATCATATGGTTGTGATTGGTTAGCAGGACAAGGTAGTGGGTGGGTACTTCCTGAAGACGGAAGAAGAAGAAGGAGGTGGAGCTGCGTGAGTGGGCTGGATCTGGTCTGGAGCCTGACGAAACTGCAGCTCTGGGGGGCGACAGAGGTTAGGCTTCTAACCAGCGGGAACAAAATATAAGCATGCGCACAGATCCTCAAGGGCTCTCTTAAAACCTCAGCAGCTAGTTCAATGCATTTTAATACATCCACACATACGAGAGGGAAACCTGGTGTGGCGCTGTAAGATAAGCACCGGACTGCTCACCCTAAGGTCGACGGTTCAAACCCACCAGCCGCTCCTCGGAGACTCTATACAGGGTCTTTATGAGTCGGAACGGACTTGACGGCACTTAACAACAACAACATACACGAGAGCCCTCCTAGCCGCTGGAAGTGATGTTTCTGGACCCACACGTTCTTCCGCATTGTTCAAAGAGCAGAGCAGCGCGCGGATCACCAGTGATTCTTGCTCATCAATAAGCGAACAAACTGCCTGGGTGCTTATTAAACATGCTGAGTTGATTCTGTGGCCCGAAGCTGTTGCATTTTTAATAAGCGCTGTCGGGGTTTATAATGTCACTGCTCTGTGGAGCACGCTCAGATGTCCTGATTTCAAATATGACCCTGAGCCTTAAAATAGCAGCACTCTCTCTCCCTCTGTATCTTTATTGCTCTCTCTCCCTCTCACACCGCAGCTCTGGCAAACTCCTTAGTTTTACTTTTTTGTGTACACCATTTCTGCCTTGATAGTTCTCAGCCTGAATAAAAACAAAACAAAAATCACTATGCCTTTAGGTCCTTATCTGCTGACACTGAAAAATCAAGGGGTTGATTTTCTCAGGGGGTCTCTTCAGAGATCAGAGACAGACTTGTCAGAAAATTTGTTGCAGCCCGGACACCCAGGTTGTGGGAAACTTTCCTCCCATCACAGACCTTGACCAGAAAAGGAAAAGGAAGAGGGGGACTGGAACCTCAGTCTCCTCATCTTCGAACTGGCACAACAGTGGATGGGAAGCTTGTTAGTTTTCGAAACCAGTGGTTCTCATGCCTGACTGCTTGTTAGTTTTACCTAGGGAGCATCTGAAAACCACAGGTGCCCATGCCCACCCCTACAATTTCTGATTTACTTGGTCCAGATGGGGCTCACACAAAAACCCCGCTGGTAGCCAGTCTATTCCGATTCATCTATCTTTACAGAAACAAACAGCCTCATCTTTTCCCCTGAGGAGCAGCTGGTGGATTTGAACAACCGACCTTGTGCTTAGCAGCTCAACACCTAACCCAGGGCTAACAGGGGCCCTTAGATGGGGCTCAAACATCAGTATTTCCTCAGGTTCCCCGGGTGATCTAATATACAGTCTGCTGGAGAATGCTTGTTGTAAGGAATAACTTCCCTGTCATATTCTCTCTCCCCTCATGAATCCACGTGGGCACCTGGGAAAAGTCCTTCCCATGTGGTTGTTCTTAAGTGCCAACCAGTCGGTTCTGATTCATAACAATCCTGTATAGGGTTTCTGAGGAGTGACTGGTAAGTTTAAACTACCCACCTTAAGGTTAGCAGTGCAGTGCATATCCTACAGTACCACACCGGTTTTGCATGTTTTTGTTGTTAGGTCCTGTCAGGTCAATTCTAACTCATAGCGACACTATGCACAACAGAACGAAATAGTGACTGAACCTGAGCCATCCTCACAATTGTTGTTATGACTTGAGCCCATTGTTGGTGTCACTATGCCAATCCATTTCCATAGGGTCTCCTCTTTTCCACTG